GGAGAGATAGAGATAGAGAGAGAGAGAGGGGGGGTAACTCCACTCGACACAAACTAGGTCATTTCGGGACTAACATAATCTGGGAATCGAAACCATGCCACTTGACTGAAAGTCAGACCTTATGATATAACGTGCACAGGCTAACCATTCCGCCATCCAAACCCCCCAGACTTGGACTACATCCTGCAGTGAATGCCAGATCCATCATATATTTGTAGATACTAAACAGAATTGAACCATTTTTGGAATGATATTACTTTTTTGAGATTTAAAGTTTACAATATCATAGTTGGCAAGGGATTAACGATCCCTTTAAATTAATCTTTTGATATTATATGGTATATCTGAAGTTGTATAGATAATATTTGGCATATGAAATATAAAAAGTTGGCCATCCCCGATATAGATACAATAAGATTGGTTCAATATTTGTGGACTGATATTACTTTTTGAGATTTACAGTTCACAAGTCCTTTAATTTAATCTCTTGGTATATCTGAAGTCGTACAGAATATTTCATACATGGAATGTAAAAGGTAAGGAAGGAAATGGGGTTTAACGTCCACTAGACACAAACAAGGTCATTTTGGGACTAACATATGGTTCAATTTTATTTTAATAATTCGCTTGCATGTGAGGGTCTTTAGCGGTAGGAGGAAACCAGAGGACCCGGAGAAAACCCACGGGGTTGGACAGGCGACCCTACTCTTTCTCACGTACAACACGGGAATCGAAACCCCGCCAGTTGACTCAATGACAGACCGTATGATACAGCACACGCGTGCTAACCATTCGGCCATCCAATCCCCCGATGTAAAAGGTTGATCACCCATGATATAGAATGTTCTTCTTGTTGGGCTTTGCTCCATTCTGCTCACTACACTTTATTTATCAGTTTTTAGCATTTTCCCAAATTCTATCCGGATTATCGCTCTTATTATTGTTTTCTCACTCATGACATCAACTGACAGACTATCGCCAGTCAGTAGACGACAAAAGCCAATACCGTCAATTTTTTTTTCAGTTTGAGAGAAGCTCGTATTATTACAGGTGTTTATGAATGGCCCCCATTCACCTGATTTGATATTTGTTATTAATTTCTTGCAATGTCTGTGTAGTTTGTCTTGTCTGCAGGTTTGTCTTATCAGTTTTTTTTTGTTTGTAGTGTGGTCCTCCTGCACTTACTATATAGATACAGTAAGTTTGGTCAAGCTTTGACCTGGACGTGCTCAGTAATTTGATTAGCATCTGAAGGCATGTCAAGTTTGACATGACGTCTGGGGATTAAGATCTGAGACCATATTTCTGCTCATTTTGATGCCAAACGGTGGCAATTATTTGCACGTTATTTTGTTCAACGTTATTTTGTTTGACGTTATTTTGATGAAATGAAATGAAATGGGGTTTAACATCCTACTGTTCTGCTGTGATCTGGGCTAATGAAGACGGGCATACACCATACAGTGTCCTATGAGGGAAATTTTTCTGGACAGTTGCCCTATGGCCTACTCTTATATCAAATTCCAAGTGTCAAGGGATCTTTTACGTGCATGCCAATGCGTACACGGGACTTCAGTTTTTCGTCCTGCATCACTTACAAGGGGGAACGACGCTGCAAAATCTGGATGAACTTTCTCTGCCAATGCAGGGACTGAACACCCAACCTCCAGACTAGCGAGCCAGCATCTTACCCACTTAGCCATCGTGACCCCGCCTTATTTTGGTGAATGTAGGAGTAACAAACTATGCTCTGCGCGAGCTGGGGTGGGTCCAGACCCCCTTCTGACCATGCACCTGATTGAAATTATCCATATTTTATATATATATATTACATCATAGATCTTATCTGATCAGATAATACTTAAAATGGCCATATCGCACACAGCTGTTTCTATAGTTACATCTCAATTGTATTTATCAGCATTAAATAAATACTTAAAACATCCTGAGAAAGAAAGAATAAACATCTGTGATCAAGCTTGAAGATAATGATGGTAAAAACCAATTTGTGAAGCCAGACAAATAATGGCTAGAGACAATTTGTATATGTATCATGAAACATTGAGGATGAAATAAATCGCACCAGCTATACATTGGTTTGGCTTATCTCAATCTTGTTTATGTTTAGAACAGATTATTTCCTGAAACTTCAGCTGCCGACAAAAAAATTTGACAATTCAAATGAAGCATCTAAATCCAAGAATTAACATATGAAGGCGATTATTTACCCAAATTTTACCTGCAATCTGACAAAGACAATTACTATCAAGGCAACTAGGTCACTTTAGGGACAATAGTATAGCTAAGGCTGGTCAAGGTCTGCCCTAAACAGCCCCCTTTTCAAGGGAGGGGATGGGGGACATCTAATCTAATATGTTGGAAATAAGCAGCAATCAATCCAAAAATAACACATCTGCTGGGCTCAAAATTTGTTGATCAAAAAATGGCCTTAGACAGTGAAGCCTTTCTAAGGCCATTTTGTTTTTAACACAAAGTCCATTTTTTCAATTTAGAAATTATCAAAGGCCATTTTTGCTTGACATTTTAAAAATAAATAAAGTCTTTCATTTTTCATTAAAAAAAACATGGACACGTTAATCATGACAAACTGAAATAGATTCAAGCCGCCATATATATATTTGTAATGTTTATAAATATATTTAGTCCTATTGACAAATATTGAAATCAAAAGCTTATCTAAATCTAGATATTTTTTGTCTCAAACTTCTAAATTACTGTATTACATGCATGTTCTGCTCTACATGTAAAATAAAGCTGTTAGGTCTTATGTTCTGTCTGTTATCGTCTGTTAGTTAAAGGGACTATCCCGATTTGAAAAGCGTCTTAAAAATAAAAGTCTGAGTACGAATGGAATTTAAGCGCCAAAATAAAGAGGAATGGTGTATTTTACTTGTCTCCAAATTTCAGCACAAAATATTAAGTCGTTTGGACGTGAACGTCACAACTGCTTATCCAGACACGTAACCCTTTTAAGATTTGGGGTCAATTTTTTCGTTGGGTGACCTGATAATCGATTCCCATTCATTTAGAGGTCTATACAATCAATGACCCATGTGCTGTACTTGATAACGAAAGGTAAATTTCACCTACACATTTTTTTTATAAAAAAAGTCTGGTTTTATCCAGACATCGCATAATACAGCTTAGGGCGCCGGTCTCCATTTCCAGATGAAGACTGATGGGTTTAAGTTGTTTGAAAGCGTATCACATATATTAAGTTAGTTGCTCGGCCCTAAGGTAGAGGATATTAAGGGATTTTAACACACAATTAAGCAGTTTTATTCTCTAAAGTATTATCAGGATTGGCCCTTTAACCCTCTCTGGGTGCGTATCACTGGACATGCACACTGATGAGACTTGTCTCGATCTGCACATACACTGCGGTACACGCTGCAGCCATTCTTCATGTGTGTCATATCGTTTGTCTCCATCATACTTCATGTTTTTACTTAATGTAAATAAAGTATACTCGCGAAGACGGCTAGACTATTTTACTTTAACATTAATCAATTACACATTTATATTTTTGTAAAGCATCGAGCAATCAAACTTAGCCTCCTAAGCAGAAAATGCTCATGATTAAAAATTAAGCAGTTTTATTCTCTAAAGTATTATCGGGATTGGCCCTTTAACCCTCTCTGGGTGCGTATCACTGGACATGCACACTGATGAGACTTGTCTCGATCTGCACATACACTGCGTGTCATATCGTTTGTCTCCATCATACTTCATGTTTTTACTTAATGTAAATAAAGTATACTCGCGAAGACGGCTAGACTATTTTACTTTAACATTAATCAATTACACATTTATATTTTTGTAAAGCATTGAGCAATCAAACTTAGCCTCCTAAGCAGAAAATGCTCATGATTAAACTTAGTCGGGTGTTTCAACCCATTATTTCACAGGAGCGTTTAACAAAGTGAAGAAACGTGAGATCAGGTGGCAGACAGTGGTCTCAATCCAGGGTCCTGGTGTCAGACATGTTTGACTGATGGGCTGTGAAATTGACCAACTGCAGAAATTAGAAGCAAAATTTGTTTCTTATTTCAAAGAATCTACCTTTAAAGACATGTTAAAATATATTGTTAAATATCTTCAAACCTGGAAATAAGGCACCTGTCACAGACAATGTCAGGCACAGATTCAGGTTTTGTCAGGCACAAAACCTCTGGTGCCTGTCATTTTGTCCAGAACTGATTTGTCTTTTTTATTGATATTATTAATACATGTACATATCTGGCACTAAGTTGAAAATGTCAGGTACTATTTCATTAGTGCCTGACATGTTGTCAGGTACATTTAAAACTGTTATTTCCGGGCCTGATAATCTTGGTAATACCAAAGTAAAACAGTTTGCCAAATTTTGAATGAAATGAAATGGGGATTAACGTCCTACTGTTCTGCTCCTATGCTGGGCTAATGAAGATGGGCATATCCTTCATACAGTGTGCTATGAGGGAAATTTCGCCCGGACAGCGGCACTACAGTCTACTCTTATTTCAAATTCCAACGACTTGACACTGTTCCTTGTCCCACCCTCCGTCCTGCACCACTGACAGAGCTTGACACTGTTCCTTGTCCCACCCTCTGTCCTGCACCACTGACAGAGCTTGACACTGTTCCTTGTCCCACCCTCCGTCCTGCACCACTGACAGAGCTTGACACTGTTCCTTGTCCCACCCTCCGTCCTGCACCACTGACAGAGCTTGACACTGTTCCTTGTCCCACCCTCCGTCCTGCACCACTGACAGAGCGAAATCATGCAGGAAAATCCAGAGAAACTATCTTGGCCAAAACCGTGAGTCTTACTCACCATGGGTCCCAACTATTTTTTTATGAGAAGTCAGTTTCAAACTTGCGACCATATTGGTTACGTATCCAAGAACTGCAGAATAGTTCTAAACCCAACCAGCCAAACCACTCCTTTACTTCCATGGCAACTTGAGATAATAAAATAATATTTAATGTTTACTCACCCTCACCACTAAACCATAGAGCTATTTTTGTAATAGTATCACCAATAATCACGTTATAACTAACCATGGCTGTTCAATAAAAATAATAATAAAATACATCATATAATCATTAAATACAAAATACAGAACTATAGTCAGAAAGGTAATTTGATCCATTACTAGTCAAATAAGTAATTTGACATGTCACCTGTCTGAAAGGTAATTTGACTCGTTACTAGTCAGAAAGGTAATTTGGCGCATTACTAGTCAGAAAGTTAATTTGACATGTCACCTGTCAGACAGAAAATTTGACCTGTTACTAGTTAGAAACGTAAAGTGACCGCTTATTAGTCAGAAAGGTAATTTGACCTGCTACTAGTCCGAATGATAATTTGACCAGAAATGTAATTTGACCCGTAACCAGTCAGAAAGGCAAATTGACCTAACGCCTGCTATTAGTGAAAAGGATAATTTGACCCATTACTGGCGTGGGGAAAGGTCTCGCTACGAGCCTGAACGGTAATTTGACCTGATACAAGCCAGAGAGGTAATTTTAAATAAAAGCAGGATGAAGAGGGTTGTATTACTGTCAGTATCAATTTATATGTGATATTTTCATTGTTTTACAGTACGAGATCAATAAATGATTTACAAATTGATCATAATATGATATCCAACTGCGGAGTTATTTATACAATTTTATTCTATTACATTGTGTGATAAAATGTTATTTTAAATCACGCACTGAAAACAAATACTAAGTAAATTTAATTCCATATGCACAGTAAGAGGTTCAGGCCATTTTCATCTCAAAATAAATTGATCCCAAAAGGGTCCAATATCAGTATCACAGTATAACCATAAAGAGTACTTGATTGATCTATTCTTTAAATGGCATTTAGTAATTGGAACATAATCCAATAACACACTATTTATGGATAACAATTACTGTGGTTTATTTCACTGCGACGTTTCAACAAGATTTCACAAGTCGTTATCAAGCATTGTGTTATGTGCTTGATAATGACTTGTGAAATCTTGTTGAAACGTTGCAGTGAAATAAACCATAGTTATTTGTTATCCATAAATAGTGTGTTATTTGACTTGATTGATCTATTGGATTTGAATTCTTTCAATCGCACACACAGTACTATATGAATAAACATGAGAATAAAAGCTTAAAGGAGCTAAATCCCTAATATAATAATGTAATATGAATGTATATAAACTGATTTAAATTCAACTGTTTTCTGTTTCAACTCTTATTTCAAATCAGTTATTTTCGGCGAAATATGCCAGAAGTCTCAAGTAAATGGCAATCTCTAGTGTCTGGTTATTCCAGTCTACACCGATAGTATTTATTTGCGCATGCTCTCCAGACAAGAATATGTTGTCACTGTTTGACATGACTTGTAGAATATGTGTAGCCTCGTTCTTCGAGTCCCTTGTTACAAATGGCACTGAAACGCATTATGGTACATGATTCGTGTACCAATGGTAAAATATTTATTTTGTCTTAAATATTGGATATCAGAAGCCCACCTTTACCTGGTAAGATCACAGCATCAATTTTGATTTAGACTGACAAATAATTTGTGTTTTAAATGTCAAAGACTTTGGATGGTATCGAGTTAGAGACTTTGTTACTTTAAAGATACATTATGGGAGATTAGATAAAGTGTTAGCAGTTCTTGCTATAATAATTTAAAAAATAGATAATGTAAAGGGAATATGTTGAAAATTTCAGTCAAATTAATTCACTCAGAGCAGAGAAAACCTTATTTTAAAAACACTTTAGCTTCAATTGTTATTGTTAATACTGTAACGATAATAAAGAAAGTCTCAATTATCAATTTTTACAGTCAATCATCGGATTAAAATGTAATGAAAATCGGACCCATAAGATGGCAATCAAGAGTTGATTATGGTTTCGTCATGTTAATAAATAGCTAATTAATAGTTTATATAACATATCAAGTCTAAAGAAAGGACTGCAATAGGAAGATTTAGCTCTTTCATGATGTATATTTAATACGAAATTGTCTTCAGGACAGACAGAGCAGATTTGATTCTTGTCACTCAACTGTAAAACTGTCAATTTGAAGAAATCTAAACCCAGAATGGAACACACCTATGTCTAGTATGGTGGCAAAACTTACCAATAAAGGGATAAAGGAATTGTAGAACTGTTAAAATGTAAAATCCTGGTCGACCAAACGCCACCAACACCATGTCCTGAAATACAGGGAATCATGTATTAAGCAAGCAGTTGAGAGAGAGAGAGAGAGAGAGAGAGAGAGAACAAAATGGGCTCTAAATACACTGAACACAAAGTAGGTCATTTTGCTAACATATCGTTCAATTGTAATACAATTATTTACTTGCGCGTAGCTGTCATTAGCTCTGGGAGGAAACCCATAATTTTGAGCAGGCGATCCCACACCTTGTCATGTTTAAGTGTGAGATCAAAACCCCGCCACTTGATTCAATTACAGACCTTAAGATCTAAAGCACACACATTAGACCATTTGGCCATGCCCCCTTCCAAAAGCAGTCGAACGAACTGGTTGCCTACTGTATTCAGTCTATTAACCCTTCTGCCGTGCTCATCCCTTAGGCCACAGCAATATGATTTTCTGTTCTTCAGGATCTTGGGGGGATGGGGGTGGATGGCTGAATGGTTAGCTTGTGCGCATATGAGTCAACTGACGTGGTTTCGATTCCCCGGTTGTACGTGACAAGGAGTAGGATCGCCTGTCCAACCTGGTGGGTTTTCTCCAGGTCCTCTTGTTCCCTCCCACTACTAAAGAGCCCCACGCGCAAACGAATTATTGAAATAAAATCAAAACATGTGTTTGTCCCGAAATGACCTAGTTTGTGTCGAGTGGACTTTAAATCCCATCTCTCTCTCTCTCTCTCTCTCTCTCTCTCTCTCTCTCTATCTCTCTCTCTTCAGGGTCTTAATAAATAAATAGCTACTTGAATCATGTAAAAGATGTTTTGTTTGAAAATATAAAAATTTGGAGCTACAAGCTTTTGAACAGCATTTCTGGCTTCTAAAATCTTTTTTTTTTCTGAAGAAACAAAAGGAATTTTTTCACAGACAAATCTGAAGATCAGAAAATCGATTTTATGTGTCCTCAGCTACATATTTGACCCAAAGTAAGGTTAACAAAGCATTGTTCAAAACTCTCTCTATTGAAAATCTATTATCACATGTTTACATATCACACCAAAGCCATTAATTGTAATTCAGTTTTTAAACTGTACATTAAAAGCTTTTTATTTAAGATGTGGTTTTACTCTTCAAACAGAAACATTTGTTAATTCCCTTTGATATATCAATCATCAACTTTTATGGTTTGTGATGCCATGGTTACCAAAAACAGTGTTTTTAATTCACATTAGATATTATTTTCATACGATTCCACAATGGTCAAACATTAAACAGATATTTTTTACTTCAAAATGAACACATGAAACAAAATGAAATGAAAGGGGGTTTACATCCTACTTTTCAGCACTGATTGGGCCAATCGCATATGAAGAGTATCAGTGAGTCTATGTGTATTAGAGGTGTAAAGTACGTTGTGTATTAGACTATAGGTGTGTGGTATAACGTATATCAGACAATCTATGTGTATTAGAGGCGTTAAGTACATTATAGAGGTGTATGATTTGCCTATAACGTTTTTTAGGACTTCGAATTCTGTCTTATGGTTTGGATTGTTCGTACTTGGTTTTATTTTATTTAAAGTGTATGAGAGAGTCTGTGTGTATTATTGGTGTAAAGTGTATTAGAGAGTATGTGTATTAGGGAGTCTGTGTATTACAGGTGTAAAGTATATCAGAAAGTCTATGAGTGTATTAGAGGTGTAAAGTATATTAAAGAGTCTATGTGTATTAGAGGTGTAAAGTATATTAAAGAGTCTATGTGTATTAGAGGTGTAAAGTATATTAAAGGGTCTATGTTTATATTAGAGGATTGTAAAGTGCATTAGAGATTCTATGTGTATTAGAGAGTATGTGTATTAGAGATGTAAAGTGTATTAGAAAGTCTATGTGTATTAGAGGTGTAAAGTTTATTAGAAAGTCTATGTGTATATTAGAGGTGTAAATTGTAGTAGAAAGTCATGTGTGTATTAGAGGGGCAAAGTATATTAGTGGGTCTACAGACTATATTTATTAGTGGTGTAAAGTGTATTATGTATTAGAGGTGTTATATATAAAGTATATTAGAGAATAAATGTGTATTAGATTTAGAAAGTGTAAAGTGTATTAGAGAGTCCATATGTATTAGAAGCGGCAATACTATATATATCGGAAAACACTGGAAAACACAGGAAAACACCGGAAAACAACCGGAAAACACCATTTTATACTGAATACCGGAAAACACACCGGAAAAACACTAAATACCGGAAAACATCCTAAATACCGGAAAACACCCTAAATAGGTAACCTGGAGCCTGGTCCTCTGTGTGCGGTTTTGGACCAAGTGAGTGCTGATGAAGGAAGGTCAAGGTCATTACGATGTTCGTTTTACAAATAGCCCCCCAATCCCCCCAAAAAATTTCCGATTTTTTTTCTCTCCCATATTCTGTCACAAAAAAAAAATGGAATTTTTCCGAGAAATTGGTTTTACAAAAAAACATTCCGTAGAAAATAATTTTACAGAGAAAAATACTGGAAAAAAAATTTGAATTTTTTTTTGAGAGAAATTTGGGAAAAGAAATTGTTAAAAAAAATCTGAAAAGAAATTTTTCTTTGACCATAGGCGATCGCTCGCTTGTATGTTAATGAACTTATTTCATCAGCGCTCACCTGGTCCAAAACCACACACGAGGACCAACGCCGGATTAACCATGGGGCACAGGACCCAGGGCCCTCCACATTAGAGGGCCCCCCCACAAAAATCTCAGTTGCGCCTAGCCCCCTCCTCTAAAAATGCCATCATTTCATAGCACTCGCATTGATTGGTCCACTGAAATAACGCCAGAATGCGCTAATTTTGTGGCAGAATTTTATTTTTTTCTGGGGTAGGTACTTCTAAATGGATCCACACAAGTGCCTGAAATGCCAGGAAATCATGTTTCCGGCCTCCAATTTCTGAAAAATTCCCGGGGGGAGAAAGGCCCCCCCCCCCCAGACCCCCTTGCGGGGCTTCGCCACTTTGGCGCTCGCGGTGGCCGGCTTTGTGGTCGGTGATCAGGGGCCCCCCACATGTTCCAGGCCCCCCACCATGGTTAATCCGGCGTTGACGAGGACCCAACTCCGGGTTACTAAATAGCTACCGAAAAACTTAGAAGAGTAAACTGTGCCCGAGATTTATTTTTTTTGGGAGGGGGGGGGCTATTTGTAAAACGAACATCGTAATGACCTTGACCTTCCTTCATCGGCGCTCACTTGGTCCAAAACTGCACAATGAGGACCAGGCTCCGGGTTACCTATTTAGGGTGTTTTCCGGTATTTAGGTAGTTTTCTGGTATTTAGTGTTTTTCCGGTGTTTTCCGGTATTCAGTATAAAATGGTGTTTTCCGGTTGTTTTCCGGTGTTTTCCAGTTGTTTTCCGGTATATAGTATGGCCCTATTAGAAGTGTATTAATTCAGTATCTGTGCTTGTAGAATATATTGCAACATGTATTCTGTATGTTAAAGGTTTGATGTGTTATTCAATGCTATAGGAATCCCCTGCAAACTACAATATTGTGACAGCAGTATTTATTAAGTTCTTCTAAGTTCTATATGCTGCTAGATTACAAGACACCACCATCTTTTATCGGTAGCGGAGAAACCTGATGGGCCTAGTTTAAATCCGGTTGAATCCAAGCTTTGAGAGAGGAATGGGGTTTAATGTCCATTCGACATAAACCAGGTCATTTCGGGACTAACACATGGTTTAATTTTATTTCAGTAATTCGCTTGCGCGTAGGTCTTTAGCAGTGGGAGGAAACCGGAGAAAACCCACGAGGTTGAAACAGGCGACCCTACTCCTTGTCACGTACAACCGGGGATTCGAAACCACGCCAGTTCACTCAATGACAGACCTTATGATACCAAGCCTTGAGTTTATCTAGTGTTGGTATTTTGATTTTGTTTTATTTTTAAATGTTAAACATACATTATGCAAGAGCTAAATCTACCTACTGCAGGGCTTCTTTAGGCCTTAAATTATTAATTAGACATTAATTAACTTATCCAGACCATAATCAACTCTTGATACCATTGGATGGCTCCGATATTTAGTAGATTAGAATGGTTCAGGCAATAATGGAAAAGCAAGGCTAATCCTTGTCAAACCTTCAAAGGCTAATATCTCCTCCACTCAGAATAAAATAATTTGAATGAAATTTTCAATATATTCATTTCGCATTATCTATTTTTAAACCATTATAGCAAGGTTGTCTAGCTCTTTATCTAAATCTTACATAATGTATCTTTAAATAATCAATCTGAGATATTTAGTTTTTGATTTAGATGTGAGAAGTTTGATATTTTAGGAAAAATGCAAACTTGAACACACTGAACAGAAATAGAAGGCTTGTTCATGGTCCATTTTCAGAGAGAGAGAGAGAGAGAGAGAGAGAGAAATGGCGTTTAACGTCCACTCGACACAAACTAGGTCCTTTTGGGACTAACATATGGTTTAATTTTATTTCAATAATTTGCTTGCGCGTAGGGGTCTTTAGCAGTGGAAGGAACCCGGAGGACCTAGAGAAAATCCATGAGGTTGGACAGGCGACCCTTCTCCTTGTCACGTACAACCAGGGATTCGAAACCACGCCAGTTGAAAAGCACTGAGCCCTTAAATTACATGGCTGATAATGTTTACAATATTACTACTTGTAACTTTTAGCGAAAAGTTTGCTCAATTTAGTTCATCTAGATTAGATTAACTTGTCACAAATAAACACAGTCTAGCACATGTTGTGACATTATCGTATAACAATTCCCTCAAGGCTCAACTTCAGCATCTGACATTTTTTATAGCACAAAATTTAATCAAGGAAGCTGAAAACTTCGCCTATAGGATATATGAGATGTGTATGTAATTGAATTTCATCCAAATGCTGTAAAAAGCATACCGGGATTGATGAGAAATGTAATTGTTCGTTGGAGGAGTGGTTCCAGAAATCACAGGATGTCCACAGGCATTTGCTAATAGTGCAAAAGTTACATGAAATGGGTTTCGATGTCCTACTTATCTGCACCTATTGATCTAATGAAGACAGGCTTACGACATACAGTGTGCACAACTGACCAACCTGGGACAGCCAAGAGGATCTTTCACACTCAGCCAACATTGGGATTGACACCTTAACTCACTTACCCACTGTGGTTCCCGTAAATTAACTGCCAAATTGTATAATGCATTTAGATTTACCACACATTCTTGGAAATGAAAAGAAATGGGGTTTAACGTCCTACTGTTCTGCTCCGAAATGGGTTAATGAATACAGGCATATGCCATACAGTGTGCTAGGAGAGTAATTTTTACTCGGACAGCGGCACAATGGCCTACTCTTATATCGAATTCCAACTGTCAAGGGATCTTTAACGTGCACGCCAATATGTGTACACAGGATCTTGGTTTTTCGTCCCATCCGAACGACTAGACAGCTGTCCGTGTCAGGCCCTCTGTCCTACATCACTGACAAGGGGGGAACCCTGCCAGAAAATCTGGATGAACTCTCTCGACCAATGCTGGGATCGAACACCCGACTTCCAGGCAAGCGAGCCAGCGTCTTACCCACTTAGCCACCGTGACTCCCACACACTTTTGGTAAATAATGTTACTGTCAATCGTGCAAATAAAACCAAAGGTTAATTGATTCTTTGCAGACTCCAAAATAAAAAATAAGAATAATGCTTACAAATGATTAATTGCTGTGAGGAAACGGCCATTAGTGTGGGAGGTGGGAGATGGAGAAATGATGGGATATTTATTTCTTGGAACAGGCTAATTAATATCGGAAGGTAAATGTTGTCCATCGTGGATCTAATTTATCTTGGTAGCTTTGACATGTCTTTTTAACACGTTTACATCATTCAAGATAAAGTAGTTCTTCTATTATTATTGGTTACTGGATAAACATGACCATCACAGGTTATAGACATGATTACACAGGCCCATATGTTAGCACATTTGCACAGTATGATTTAAATACTGGTTGAGCTGTGTTTGGAGATGACTCACTAGCCTGGAGATCCCTGGTTTCTTTCAGGTGTCGACTGAGAACATTTATCAGGACTTTCCAGCCTGCCAGTGACATAGGGAAATAGTATCTAGCTGTTCAGATAGCCCGAAAAACCAAGGTCCACCGTTGTACTCAACTCATTAGTGTGCACATAAGTAAAATTTACGTGCATTGTATATATATGCTCGTCGCCATTAGATTGGTTGGTGCAAAAAGTACCCCTTTAAGGAAAATAGATTTTATGGAATAATTCAGTAATTACCATCATACAAAGTAATCAGCACGTCTTGTTCTCCTCTTGTCGGAGGAAAAAATATGTCATTTTCTAGTTGATAAGTTTTCAAAGTTGCTCTGTTAATAACATGAGGAGTTTATCACAGACGAACAGCCAGAACACGGCAGACGGACAGAATGTAGAAGAGATTAATCAATAGCTAAAGGAAGACATTTGATTGGTTTAATGTCAATACACGTACCTGATATGAATGGGTATTAGACAGGCGACCACCCTCAATCAACAAGAAGATTGAATAATCTGAAAACAATAAAATCACAATATCATCAAGGGAATCAAATGGCAATAGGCCTACACTACTTGTACTTAAGCTTAGTTCGGGATTATTGAAATATGAACTGCTCATATTTTAGCTAAAGTTAAGTATGTAAAAGTCAATAAAATCAAAATATTGTCAAAGGAAGGAATCAAGTGGCTACAAACAGCTTGTTTATTGAAATGTTAAAGATACACTATTAGTAAGTGCAGGGGGACTGCTGCACTACACATAATTACACAAAACAAAACTACAGACAAGACACAATACACAGAAATCACAAACGTACATTAAGTGAATGGAAATCTGCCTATTGCAGGTCTTTTTGAATAAATTATTATTTAAACATTTATAAACATAGACAAACCCATAATCGACTCTCTGGTTCATTGGATGGCTCTGATTTTAAAGATACATTATGGGAGATTAGATAAAGAGCTGGCAGTTTTCACTATAATAGTTAAAAACTAGATTGTGTAAAGGCAATTTGCTGAAAATTTCAGTCAAACTGATCCACTATGAACCCAGAATTAAGCAATTGAAATTTCGGCCTAGCCTCAACCATCATTACTAAAGTCGTATGATAAAAAACATAGTCTCGATTATCCATTTCATGATTAAATCATGAATGAAAGTTGAGCAGAAAATCGAATCATAATCCAATAAATACTGCAGGGTAGCGCTGACATTAAGAGTTGATTATGGTCTGGATAAGTTAATTAATGTCTTATTAATAATTTAGATAACATTTCAGGCCTAAAAAAACCCTGCAATAGGCAGATTCAGCTCTTGCATAATGTATGTTTAAGTAGATTAGATTATTAGAACATTTTGGACATTTAAGAGTGTAACGATAAAATAGATAATTGGGACTTCAATAATTTAAGTTAAAAATGGTAAATCGAGATTTAGTCTATACTAGTAGCGTTGATACAATAATAAACAATTATGCTATACATTTTGTCAAAACTTCAAACACACATAACTTCAAACAGAATAAAGTAATTTGATTGAAATTTTCAATATATTCATTTTTTATGATTTGTTTTTGAACTATCATAGCAAGAACGACCAGCTCTTTATCTAACTCTTACAAAATGTATCCTTAAAGTCAATAAATGAAAAATATCAAAGGAAACAAGTAGCTATAAACTTCTAATAGCTAAATTTATTTTTCATTTTTAGAAGGAGTACTAGGTGTAATGTAAAACAAGAAATAGATACGTTATATACAGACTCTGATCTGCTAACGTAACAAAATAAAGTACGGGTAGTTCCCCAAATATATAAGTATGTCATTAAACAGAACACCCCTGAGAACAAACGGATCAATTTAGATTAATTAGTTGATATTACTTCTTTGTTCAAGTTTATAATCCTTGAGAGACATTTAGCGATTAAGCATGATAAAAAATATTAATCACACCTCAGAATAAAAGGATCAATGTAGGTTAATTAGTTGATTGGTTGATATTACGTCTGTGTTCAAGTTTACAATCCTTGAGTGGCATTTACAGATTGAGCAGAATAAAAAACACAAGACAATTTATATAGAAAATATTCATCACTGGTTGGTATACATACAGCACAACGTTTCGACGTGTGTTCTCTTTTCGTTATTAACAGTAAATGACAAAGATAAGAGAACAGTTGTAGAAATGAAATGGGGTTTAACGTCCTACTGTTCTACTCCGACTGGGATAATGAAGACGGGCATATGCCATACAATGTGCCTACTCTTATATCGAATTCCAACTGCCAAGGGATCTTTTACGTGTATGTATACACATGACCTCATTTTTTTCGTCCCATCCAAACGACTAGACAGCTGTCCTTGTCAGGGCCTGCACCACTGAAAAGGGAAAACCACGTCGGAAAATCTCGATGAACTTTCTCGACCAATGCAGAGATCGATCACCCGACATCCAGGCTAGTGAACCAGCATAATACCCACTTTGCCACCGTGACTCTCAGTTGTAGAAACATTGTGCTATATGTATACAAACCAGAGAAATTGTGTTGAGGTCTTTCTTTTGTTCAAGTTACTAATGTCACTCAATCTTGTGCTTTTGATTATAAGTTAGATAACTCTGTCTCTATCCTTGGTGTCCCCAGTAGTCTTATTCCGTACCATTCCACTTACCCCTGGGTTTATCCATGGGGGATGAAAAGTATTCAAATTATCTGCACTTAATGATTGTGCTATTTTTATTGACCAATAGTGTAACGACTTGCCACTGTCTGTTTTAAAGTAGCTAAGTCTCTAACTCAATGTCATCCAAAGTCTTACACGTTGAAAATACGAATTATTTGTCAATTCAACTCAACATTGATGTTGTGATCTTACCAGGAAAAGACAGGCTTCTGATATCCAATATTTAAAACAAAACAAGCCAACAGTGAGGCTGATGTCCCCCGCCGAAATAGGAAAATAATTAGAGGACACATATAAATTTATCACAAATTATCTTTTACAAAGTATTGAACAATCAAACAGTATATCTTTACTTATAGTCTAAGCATACAATGTTTTTGATGGAATAATTATAGCATATTAAGGGGAAAACATGCTCTATGCCTACAGATCTAGAGTTTGGTTGTATCAACGGGTCTATTTTCCATCTTGCTGCAAGTTGTGCAAAGTTCACTGTTTTCTTTCTGTCATTAAATGTCAATTCATTATTGCATACTATATATTTAATTAATTTATAATAGTTTCTTTTTCAATTTTTTTTTTCCATTTATTTGTTTATTTACCTTGCCTATATTCATTGTATTGGATTGTATTGGAATTGCTCAATTGATGCTTTTATCAATACCTGGTTATAATATTATGACATGTAATGTGGCAAGTTGAGTCGGGACATGTAGGCTATAATGTAACCTAAATGTATACATAAGTGGATTTCGTTTCATTTTTTTAGAAAATATTGTACAGATAAAAGATGAGGAATTACAGGGGTAATACATTGGAAAGCTTCTTCAAGAACTAAAGCATAAACTATATAAACGAGCTTCCAATCAAATTGTTTATCTCTGCTTACCCTAAGCGGAACGGACAGACAAACAGACAGACGGACGAACCCATTTTAATAGTTCCCTGCTTTCTTCGAAAGGCGGGGGACAATAAGCATGAACATTTACTCAATTCGAAGATCAACCAATCAAATTGTTTATCTCTGCTTACCATAAGCGGATCGGACAGACAGACAAACAGACAGACGGACGAACCCATTTTAATAGTTCCCTGCTTTCTTCGAAAGGCAGGGGACAATCAAAGTAGGAGAGTTATTGTTTTCCAAAGTCTCGACCAATCAAATTGCGTATCGCTCTGCTTACCCTGAGCAGAAAATGCTCATTATCAAACTTAGTCAAGGTATTACTGTAATGAAACTATACACCAAGTTTCATCAATCTCACTTAATTAGAACTAAAGTTATCGTGTCCCAAAGCATCAACCAATCAAATTGCTTATCTCTGCTTACCCTAAGCAGAAAATGCTCATCTTCGAACTCCATCAAGGCATTGACCTAATCAACACATACACCAAGTTTGAACATTCTAGCTCAATTAGGAAGAGAGTTATCGTGCCCCAAAGTATCAACCAATCAAATTGCTTATCTCTGCTTACCCTAAGCGGAAAATGCTCATCTTCGAACTCTATCAAGGCATTGACCTAATAAACACATACACCAAGTTTGAACATTCTAGCTCAATTAAAAGTTATCGTGTCCCAAAGCATCAACCAATCAAATTGCTTATCTCTGCTTACCCTAAGCGGAAAATGCTCATCTTCGAACTCCATCAAGGCATTGACCTAATGAACACATACACCAAGTTTGAACATTCTAGCTCAATTAGGAAGAGAGTTATCGTGTCCCAAAGCATCAACCAATCAAATTGCTTATCTCTGCTTACCCTAAGCGGAAAATGCTCATCTTCGAACTCCATCAAGGCATTGACCTAATAAACACATACACCAAGTTTGAACATTCTAGCTCAATTAGGAAGAGAGTTATTGTGTCCCAAAAAGTGTGACGGACAGACAGACGGACAGACAGACAGACAGACAGACAGACGGACGAACCCATTTTAATAGTCCCCTGCTTTCTTCGAAAGGCGGGGGACAATAAACATTTTACCATTGGTACACGAATCGTGTACCATAGTGCGTTTTAGTGTCATTTGCCAGAAGTGACCAGAAAGAACGAGGCTAGACACATTCAACTGGAGAGCCTGTTCAATAGACTGGAATAACCAGATGCTAGAAATTGCTGTAGAGTTGAGACACATGCCGTATTTCGCTGGACATAACTGATTTGAAATTAAGAGCCAAAACGGAAACAATTGAATGTAAATCAGTTTATATACAATCAGATTACATTATTATATGCGTTGCGACCCATTTGGGTCAATTTCTAGGTTCAAAATATTAGCGATTTAGCTCCTTTAAGTGACATAAAAACATCTTTCCCATCAAAAACGATGTTTTAGGAGATCTTTTTGTGTGCATGTCACTTCTTTTATATTAAATTTCTTGCAAACTTTCTCATAATCGAGCGAAGAAGTAGCCATATTGTTGTGAATGTAAACAATGAGGCTAATAATTTGAATACGTGAGTACCCCATGGATGAACCTAGGGTATAGTGGAATGAGACCACAAGACCACTGGGAATACTGAGGATGCCCTATCTCTCACTTAGGCCACAAGTAACCAAGTAGCTGTTTTCTTCGTAAAAATGTAACATGGAAGGAAGCATGTACGCCATATCAGATCGGTTTACCCAGTCGTCAACTTGTTTTGTCCATTACAAACTAACGTCATGTTGATCTAAACTAATTATCAGCTGATTTATGAGATTCTGAAAAATTTATCGAAGAAACCTCCAAGCCATTTCTATAACATTTCTTACAGGATTCTTCAAGACCGCTGCATTTTAGGTTCAGTAATATGTTATAATTGTGATGTGCATGACAATATAT